AGTGGTGAGAAGTTTTTAAAATTGGGTTTAATAGCTGAAAAAAAAATAAAAAAAGACATACCAAGTTCTCCTGAAACTTTCCTAGTTATCAGCCACCCTGTGTCCTACTTGGAAAGGGATGGGATATGAATGCATTCAACAGAATTAATTTCAGCTTTGAACCTCACAGAAGAGTTCAATCATGTCTGACTCTTTGCGACCCCACGGACTATAGCCCGCCAGGCTCCTCTGTCCATGGGATTCTCCAAGCAAGAATATGGGAGCGGTAGCCATTTCCTTCTCCAGGGATCTTCCTGACCCCCCTTCTTTCTGGTTGAGTTTTGACATAGAGTCACTGGAAAGGCCTTTTATTTAGATACCAGTTGAGGGTCACCTCCTGTATCTCTGGCTGCTGCTGCTTTTCTTCTTTTCCGGGCTCATTGGAACTTACTTGACCACTAACAATGGGATTCCTCTGGGCTCAGATCCAGGCCATCTCTCTAACCAGTCTCCTCAGGGAAACTCACTCCCTACCACCGCACTCCTCACCATCAGGGCCTCCCGAGTGTGTTTCTGTGGTCCAAAGCTCTCCTGTGAGACCCATAACCTGATTTCTAACCTGCTCTTCTACCTCTCCACGTGAACCATGGTTTCACAGCCAAGACTGAACTTGGGATTTCGTCCGCTCCTAACCTGCCATTCTTTTAGTGTTTTTCAATTCGACGAAGGCACACACATCCATCCAACTTTCAAACCTGGAACTCAGAAGCCAGTCCTGCTGCCTCCTTCCCCCGTGTTCTGCCCCCACCCGCCCCCAGCATCAGTCTCAGGCCTTGTCTGGTTTACCCACCCAGTAGATTCTCTCGAGTGGCCCACTGGGTCTGCCTGAACTGCTCCCGCTTTGCCCTGGCATGTCTCCTCTAGATCCCTGCTGGAGTCTTCTCACGAGTCCATGTGGGCTCTCCCCACTCTCCACACTGAGACATCTTCTCAGAACGCACATCTTCCCACCCTTGGGCAGCCACGGAACCTTGCAAGGCTGCCCGCGCCTCCTCACCCACAACGCCTGGGCTGCGCCCTCCCCTGCCCCTCCAGCTGCTTCCCAGCCGCGCTGCACCTCGCCTTCCGCGCGGCCGTCCCACTGGCTCTGATTCCTGGACTTGTTTGCCGCAGGGATTGGCACCTGCTCATCCCTCTGCCCGCCCATGCCCCTCACCACTCAGCCTCCCCACCTCCGTTTAACCGTCTGCTTCTCAGAGATGTCTTTCTCCGAACTTCCAGGCCTTTCTTACGAGCTATTGCATGCCATGGATCCCCTCCCTCTGAGCACTTATCTCAGTTTTCAAGTTTTTATTCATCACAGTGGTTTCTTGATGAATGCCTTCACCTCAGAAGAGCTCCAGAGAGAAGAGGGCCTGTGGCTGGGGTTGCTCGCTGTATGTCTGTAGCACCCAGGCGAGTGGGTGACATGGGGGATGTTTAACAAGTTCCCTGAGTGAGTGAACAGTTGTGTCTCTAAGGCCCTGACAAGGCCATCACCACAGTCCACCGCGTATATCCATAGTCTGTGTTATTTTTCAGTCGCTAAGTCTTGTCTGACTCTCTGCACCCTCATGGACTATAGCACACCAGGCTCGTCTGTCCTCCACCCTCTCCCGGAGTTTGGCTCAGAATCATGTCCATTGGGTCAGTGATGCATCTAAACATTTTGTACTCTGCCACCCCTGTCCCCTTTTGCCTTCAGTCTTTCCCACGTTGATTTTCACTCTTGCCATCTCCTGCTTGCCTATGTCCAGTTCACCTTGATTCACGGACCTGACATGCCAGGTTCCTCTGCAATATCGTTCATTACAGCATCAGGCTTTACTTTCCCCACCAGACACATCCACAGCTAAGCATCATTCCTGCTTGGGCCCAGTCACTTCATTCCTTCTGGAGCTGTTAGTAATTGCCCTCCGCTCTTTCCCAGTAGCATATTGGGCAACTTCCGACCTGCGGGAGCTCGTCTTCCAGTGTCATATCTTTCTGCCTTTTCGTACTGTCTGGGAGGTCCTCCAGGTGAGCGTACCGGATGGGTTGCCGCTCCCTCCTCCAGTGGGCCGCAGTTTCTCAGAACTCTTCACTGTGACCCACCCGTCTCGGATGGCCCAGCACTGCATGGCTCATAGCTTCATTGAGTTACACAGTCTCTTTGCCATGTCAAAGCTGTGATCAATGAAGTGGATAGTCTGTGTTATTCACTCATAGATAAAATGAGGCTCAGGTGTGGCTAAAGGTTGCACATAGCCTGGAGAAGGCAAGGGTATTTCAGCCAGGGAATTTCAGGCCTGCCTGTGACCTGGCTTGGTCCCACCTGGTCTTGTGACGTTGGTGAATGTACACTGACAAAATGATACATGCATCTTTGCTAAGAACAAGCATTAATTTTGAGGGACAAACCAAAAGGATTTGCCATCTCCTCAGGGACATGGTCTCACTAAAGAGATGCTCAGTTTAGTAACTATTCAGAAAAATTATCATCTCTGTCTTCAAGCAAATACGTTTTCCTGCTTCATGTTTTAGAAGCTGACAAGACAATTAAAGTCATTTATCTCAAAACACAGAGAGTTCAAAGGTGAACTGATGGTCCTAGGAAATTTCTAGCTACTTAAAGAAAACATGTTTCCACCTTACCAAAAAAATAAAAATATTGTTTATAAGATGAAATAAACACTCATTTCACTGAACATTGGCATACAAAGTGATTAATACCTTTGTGTCAAAATGATTATACAACTATATATAAAACATGTTCTTAATCTTTATTATTTTGCTTGTTAATAAGTTTGTTCCAGGAATAATGAGACATTATAACAACATATAAAATATGGCAAAATGCATAAATTATAAATTAGTTTCCTAATGACTCAGTGGTAAAGAATCTGCCTGCCAATGCAGGAGACACAGGAGACACGAGTTCGATCCCTGGGTCAGGAGGATACGCTGGAGGAGGAAGTGGCAACCCACTCGACTATTCCTGCCTGAAAATCCCATGGACAGAGGAGCCTGGCAGGCTACAGCCCATGGAGTCCTAAAGAGTCAGATAAAACAGCATGCACATGTAGATCAATTAAGAAGTCCAAAGACAAATAGGGTGGAAATAGAAAATAGATTTGATATGAGGCCGATTGAAAAAGCACCTTTCGTAAGGACGAATGTGCTGCCAGGCCACGCTGCCACACCACAGTCTCCACCACAGTCATCCTGCCTTTTTCCTTCCACAGAGCTCTGATCATGTCCTGGTACCGAGACTTCTGTGCTCAGGCCTGGAGGAGAACCACGGTGGACCCAGGAGAGTCACGTGGATCCCTAACTGGCTCACGCTTGTTAGAGAGGAACGTCCTCACTGTGAGAGACACTTTTAGTGAGGTCCCTCACTTGTGGCTGGGAGCTTTCTGACCGATATACTCGCTAGGGTTCTCATTAGGCTCTAAGTTTTCCAGCAGTCCACACCGAAAGGGATTTAATTAGAAATAAGTCAGTGTTCATAAAACCGAAACAGGCCTGCACCTCAGGAAAAGCACAATATTGCTAAGACTAAGAAATAGGCTGAGGATCTGTCAGGATCCGCTCATTTGTCCGATGTATTTAAAATCCCAAATAGAAGCATCAATGATAAGGATACTGAAATCAGCAATTGAAGCCAAATTGGCTTTCTCTTTTGACATAATTTATGATTCACCTTGAAGTTTCATTTTCTACATGCTTCTTAAGTTAAAACATTATTCTTGGGGCCAAAAGAAAATGCATTTAACAAATTAATTTGGACAATGGATGCAGAAAAGTTGTTCTTTGCAAACTAAAGTTTGGCTTGTGAATAAGAAACCCTACATCTGTGACTCTGTAGACCAGTGGGGTGGGTAGGAGAAAGGTCTAAATGGTTCCCATGGGCTTCTTTTAGAAAGAATATGTATTTTGCTCTGTGTATTTCTTCAGAAAAAGTGTAGGCATTCAACAGAACAGGGAAAGATCAAGTTCTAAAAAGAATTGTTTTCCCCTTTGAACATTGACAGAAGAAAAGATTTTACTTTTGTATATAATTTTATTTTGGTTAGGAATCAGGCTTCTCACAGTATGTTTGTCCATCTGTATATTTATATCCAGGGGCTTCCCAGATGACTCAGGGAAAAGAATCCACCTGCCAATGCAGGAGACGTGGGTTTGATCCTTGGGTCAGGAGGATTCTCTGGAGAAGGAAATGGCAACCCAGTCCAGTATTCTTGCCTGGAAAATCCCATGGTAGAGGAGCCTGGTCGTCTACAGTCCATGGGGTCATAAAGAGTTGGACCTGACTGAGCACACACCCATTATTTACATTCAACTTATAAAGAAATGAAGGAAACATAGCACTGATGGAAAGAATGTCTCCTGTGTGCTCACAGGATGGCTTGAACCCACAGCCAACTACAATAGCCAGCCTACCAGGAATAGCCCCCGCTTCAAGCCCATTTACTATTTTAGTGACAAGAACTTGCTAATGTGGGCACTTCGAAATGTAACCTTGGAAAGGAATGCTCTTCATACCAGGAAATCTTTGAGAAGGCTTGAGTTCTTGCCATAACTGAAAATCTAATGATGTATTACCGATGACTTCATCCCCAGATGAAAGCTAGCTCCCCGCTTCCGTAATCCCCAGGGAGAATCACACTGAGGAGAGAGGAATTTGGAAACAACAAGAAGGAAAGAGACTTCAGTTCTTCTTCTGAATAAAAATGAGGAACCAGTCTATATGAGCATAAAGGATACACCTTCCAGACCCTGAAGTAAGGGTCTGTGTGTCTCCAATAATACCAGTAGCAACTGCAGAGAGTTCATAGAGACAAAAGAAAAAACATGCCGCTTGTGGGAGTGTTTTGGGTGGGGCTCCTGAATAAGGAACAGAAACTTAAATGGTCTTCCCCAAGCCAGGCTTTTGTGTCCCCATACTGCTGGTGCTTTAGACTTAATGGTACATCTGGGCTTCCTCTTTAGAAAAAGGGAACAGATCCATTCCAGCTGATGGTGGCATCTCTCCACTTGCTTCTGATCACCATCTCCAGTGGGGAAAACCGTCTTCCTGGGCTGTGTTCATCTTCGTGTTGGACTCTTTCCCAGTGGTGGGAGTGAGTGTCTGAGGAAGGAATAGCCAACATTTAGACCCCAGCCTATGTATACCATTTCAGAAGAAGCCAGGAAAGAAGGAAAATAGGATGAGTGGGCAGGAGTTGGGCCCAGCAAGCTGTGTCCCTAGAAGTGAGTGAGCGGATGGGGATTCCCGTAGACGGTGTGTGGATATGCCCCATGCAAGACATGTCCATGATAGCCTGGGTTGTTGTAGATTTTGAAAATTCAGTATTTATGTCATGCTATAGTGTGGTCCCGTACCATGATGGGACACATAGAGTTACGGTGTATCAATAAATCACTGAGTGTTGCCAGGAAAAATAAGAAAAGAGAGTTTCTCAATACTAAGAGTACATTTGAATTTTGGGGTGAAGTGCAAGTATTCTCGTGAGGTAGTCTAGAACTGAGTTCAAGGCCCAAGTTTGTCACAAATGACCTTTGGGAAGGTACTTAGTATCTCTCAACCTCATCCATTAGAAATCATTTTTTGGCCACTTCAGTTTCCTCTATGTAAAATAAGTATCATAGTGTCTACTTTAGATGACTGTTAGGAGGATTTAAAGGAATAATGTATGTAAGTCTTTCAACACATTGCCTGGAACACAGTGCTTGCTATGTGTGGGAGCTAATAAAAAACAAAAACAAAACAAAACAAAACAAAATCCCAATGCTTTCCTCAAAGACGAGAGTAAAGTAGAAGCAATACTAGTAGAAAAGTAGAAACAATAATGTATCTTAAGGAATGTATTGGCAATGTCCCACTAAATGAAATAGGTGTGTGTATATATAATATACATTTTTCTGGGTTCATATATATATATATATCTCTACACACACACATGCACATATATATATGTATGTATTGGGCTTCCCTGGCAGTTCAGACGGTAAAGAATCTACCTGTAATGAGGGAGACCTGGGATCAATCCCTGGGTCAGGAAGATCCCCTGGAGGAGGCATGGCAACCCACTCTAGTATTCCTGCCTGGAGAATCCCACGGACGGAGGAGCCTGGCGTGCTATAGTCTTTGAGGTCGCAAAGAGTTGGACGTGACTGAACGACTAAGCACATGTCTGTGTATACACATATACACAAACATAAATTTCTCAAAATTAAAGAAAAAGAATTAGGAACTACACAGACAAAACAGTCACTAAAATACTCTTCTAAATGTAGTCATAATAATGAAAAGTTGCCTAAAGCCAGATCTGTGATACTAAATGCAAAGAGTCAGACATAAATCAGCAAGGTTCCATGCGTGGTGCCTTGGTAGCAAATATGGGCTTCTGGTTTCATGATGTTTATTCCCTTGTCCAAAAGGCTAGTGTTTAAAAACATCTTAGGGTTAATCTTTTTTCCTCATGTTTTTTAAAGAAACATGGTGGGGATTGGAATGAAATGGCTTGTATGATCACACTGTGCCTGTTGCTTTCCTAGTGTCTGGCACATACCTGGTGCTTAGTAGGCCTCACAAATACTTTTTGAACTGATCTGAATACACATGCACTCTCAGTGTAGTTACTGTGTTCTGGGATGATCGATAATCTGATACTCTGTTTTGGGATTAGAACTCATCAGTTGGAACCCCGAGGTTACAATGCTTAGGTTTGACCCGTGACGTTGAAGCCTAGGTTTCATTTCAGAGGTCAAGCCTCCACATCTTCCTGCAGAGCTAGCCCAAGCATCCACACAGCTGTAACCCAGCCCAGCCTCGGCTCTCTGAGCACCTTAAGCTGAGGGCACCGGGGTCTGGCGTGCTCACCCACGGTAAGGTGCGCAGGCTTGTTCTGTGCAGGCTGGCCGTTGTAGAAGTACAGATCAAAGAGGCGCTCCACTCTCCAGTCTGATAAGAGCTGCCTGTTTGTGCTAAATAGGACGCTGTAAGTTCCGTTGATGTTGCACAGCCAGATGGGTAACTTGGGAGTCTTCAGCATGCTGCCCACCTGCAGGAGGAGAGAGGAACGCAGATGGACGTTAGATCTGGCCGCCTACGACAGAACACGTCACCAGGATCAAAGAGCGGCTCTGGGACTTCTCTGGTGGACCAGTGGTTAAGACGTCGCCTTCCAGTGCAGGGGGCATGGGTCTGATCCCCGGTAAGGGGGAGCTGAGATCCCACGTGCTTCACAGCTAAAAAACCAAAACACAAAAAGCCAGAAGTAGTACTGTGACAAATTCAATAAAGGCTTAAAAAAAAATTTTTTTTTTTAAAGGCAGCTCAGAGACTTGGCATTGCGCTTGTAGCTGGGCAGGGCCCCGTGCATGGAGGGAGATTTCAAACAAAGGCTTTCTTGTGAATGAATTTGCATTTATGAATGGTGTGGTGGTAATGCTCCAGTTTTTCTCTTCACGGATTTTATTTTAAAACATGTTGAGGGTGGGCTTATGGAGCTGGTGGAACCATCTCAGTTTGGTTTGTTAGTGAGGTGGAGAATAAATAGACTGAAATAGAAGTGTAGGAATGGAATATGAGAACTTGAACTGGTCTTTTTGTTGACTAGTGTACTTATTCTTGTTCCCAAGATAGGACAGTATTTCATTCAGCAGGTGGTCATTCTGGCAGCACTAACCATTTAGATCATAGGAAAAAGAGCCTAGAATATGGGAAGAGAGATTATTTTGAATACAGAAAAAAGCTTCTGGGAAATGAGTGGAGCGCACACAGTCTCACAGATATACATGTATCTGCGTGTTAACATGTAGATCAATCATGAAGATGTACTTAGAGCTGAGTGTACTGGTTCAATATTACGTATAATATTAAGCTCACTGTTTTTTAAATTTATTTATTTGTTTTTGGTTGTGCTGGATTTTTGCTGCTAATGGGCTTTTCTCTAGTTGCGGCACGTGGGGGCTACTCTCAAGTTGAGGTGCAAGTGCCTCTCTTTGCAGTGGCTTCTCAAGGAGCACAGGCTATAAGGGACACGAGCTTCAGTAGTTGCAGCCCCTGGACTCCAGAGCACAGGCTTAGCTGTTCTGTGGCATGTGGGATCTTTCTAGATCAAGGATTGAACCTGTGTCTCCTGCATAGGCAAGTGGATTCTTTCCACTGAGTCACCAGGAAGCCTAAGTGCAGTGTTTTACTCAGCTTGCTTTCTGGTTTTTCCAGGCAACTGTCAATTCAGCCTTGAATTCTCAGGCTAGTGAATTCGATTCACCAAAGCGCCACTCTGGGTGGCTCACTAGTGAAGGATCCTGCATCCTCCAGTAACCCCTGAGAATTGTTGCTGTTCAGTCACTAAGCCATGTCCAGTTCTTTGCAGCCCCATGGACTGCAGCATGCCAGACTTCCCTGTCCTTCATTGTCTTCCAGTTTGCTCAAACTCGTGTCTGTTGAATTAGTGATACTACCTAAACATATTATCCTCTGTCGCCAGCTTCTCCTCTTGCCCTCAATCTTTCTCAGCATCAGGGTCTTTTCCAATGAGTCAGCTCTTTGCGTAGCCAAAGTATTGGAGCTTCAGGATCAGTTCTTCCAATGAATATTCAGGGTTGATTTCCTTTGGGGTTGACTGGTTTGATCTCTTTGCAGTCCAAACATGTGAGGGTATCAGGATTATAGTGTGTTTTTCTTAATGATATCTCCCATTTTGTTTAAAGAGGCAGGGAAGCACATTTTTTTTTAATGCCATTGAAACTTATTAATGTTTTTTAAGAAACATTTTTTTTTGTTTGTTTTTTAAAAACACATAGAGATTAATGTGAGCTACATGGAAACCCCAATCATTTCCCTCAATGCCAGGGAGAGCTCTGGACCCTCAGCTGTGGTGTATCTTCCCATAACAAAAGGATTCAATTCTGTTTCTTTTCTTCTTGGTCCTAAGAGTTGTACTGTGTGTTCAGGAACAAATTCTGTTGCATGGAAAATCCAGCTTTGAAAAAATGACTGCGTGTTTTGTCAACCCAAGTATTAAAGGCTAGTAACTTGACATTTTGATTTATCAATCGTTCTATTCAAATCCCTTCCTTCTTCTAGAGTTGAAATTCTTCAATTGTGGGTGAGTGGGTGAATCAGAGGTGCTTTTGTCTTTAAACTTTACTCTTTAGCTCCTGGAGAAAAATTATACTACTGTGTTTAAAAGAAATGACCTCAGTTTTAGTTGATAGTTGAAAAAAGGGGTGTAAGCCCAGCATCCCAGTCTGGACATGCTCACAGGGGGCATGCTCATCTGCTCACATCAACACCAGCCCTCCCTGGACTGAGTATAACACACCAAACTTGGGGCAATTCGCTCACTGGCTACATTGGAAATAAAACACACAGGATGTGCCACTGAAAGCAACCCCATGTATTTACATCCCAGAATCCACCCCCCCAATTCCAAAGAATGTCATCACCATTCATTAGTTATAAAAGACGCTCTTTCTTAGGCCTTCTTGCAATAGTACTAAGGTTATGTGTAAATATGATCTGCAGGACTTGGAATTATTAAGTTTGAAAAATATGGATAAACTAACTAGGAACCTGAGGGCTGCTTGTAATAAGATGCCATTCCATTTGACTCCAGATGCATATTCTGGCTGATTTTAAATCCGTGATGGTAACTGTAAATGATGTATGGATGGATGTAATCGACTGTAGGCATACATGATATTGTTTCACAAAATCTTTGTGACGTAGGCAAAATTCAACTAGAGCTCAGATTCATACTCGGTAAGGTGTGGCCACTGCGCTGTTGTGATTTTATGCAACAATGCAATAGTTTTCTCTCCTGAACTCAAAGCTACTCATGATCTTATTAAAGTAGGAGGAAAATGAAGGAGTCATAAATATAACAATCTCCAGCACTCAAAGTGACCATTCAGAGACCCTGCATTGAGCAGGCAGAGTCCCACTTGCCCTGAGAGATTCTGGTCAAGAGAAATATATCTGTCACAGCACTTTAGGTTTTAACTCCAAGAGGTGAGCCTCAGGTTACAGCTTAGAACATGCTTGGTTTGAAGGGAGTCCTGCAGATCCAAAACTGAGCACCTCCCAACTGAACCCAGTCAAATATCAAAGCCCTTTCCTCAGGGCACCGTGGAATCTGTTTGACTGGCATCTTCAGTTAAGAATATGTATTGCTTTGGGATAGACACAATTGATCAGCTAACCTCCCCACAAAAGAGAATTCTAAGTATGTTTTACTGGTGAGATGTCATCAATGCAGAATTTGTGCATGTTGCCTCATGTTGCCATGGTAAAAAGGAAATTAGATTGTGATAGAGTGGTGCTATAAATAAAATACCTTTCTCCTTAAATTCACTCATTGTGTAATAAGCCCAGTCAGCTCAGCCTCCCATGCAGCAATCAAACCTTCCATAGCAGGTGTCATTGAAGGTAAAGTTACAAAGATAGGAAGAAGGGACAAATTCTAAGCACCAGAGAGTGAGGATCCATCCGTCCACGTGGTGGCTTAAGTGGTAAAGAATCCGCCTGCCAGTGCAGGAGACCTGATTCGATCCTTGAGTCAGGGAAGACCCCTTAGAGGAGGAAACGGCAAACCACTCCAGTATTCTTGCCTGGAAAATCCCATACACAGAGGACCCTGGTGAGCTGCAGTCCGTGGGGACGCAAAGAGTCGGACATGCCAGTGACTCAGCGCCAGCATAGGCCGGTTCTGGTTCTAGAACAGTGGCTCTTAGAACACGCCTCTGCATGAGGTGTTGACGTCCCAGGGCCCATCCGGGGATCTGGTTGGGAGAAAGGTGTGCAAATGCTGGGCTTTCTTCGCGGATTCCTGGTGACGATTCACACGCGTGGCTCTTCACAGTCTGGCTCTCATCTCTGCCACCCAGAACACGAGTTGATGGAACTTCTCTCAGTGAGCTTGCAGGGGTTTTGTCATGTTTTCCGGGCGCTACCCCAGCGACTCATGGGTAGAGAACAGTGGGTGGAGCTTCATCTGGGACTTTCAGTGTTGGATTTCTTCCTGTCCATCTCTTTAAAGGGAAAAATGTAAAGAGGGAAGAAGGTAGGACTCAGATGGTGATGTGCTCTGCCAAGGCTGTCGGGGGAATAATTCCAGCAAGACCTAAATGGCTTCAGTTCCTTCTAAAATTCAGAGTTGATATTTCTTCTCGGTGGCAGGTGCGAAGATAATGTGAACCTCCTAAGGTTTTCCAGATGGTGTTAGACTCAAACTGCTTTATGCTCTCACTTAGGTATTGGAACTTCACACTCAAACCTGTCCCTTCAAATAGAAAAGTGATGGGAGGCTTCAAAATAGTGCCTCTTCTTGCGGGGAGCTGGCTGTGTGCTGCAGGAACTGCCAGTCTGGAGGGTTCTGGGGGGCTTGCGTGTCATCTAATGAGAGCTCCTTTTTTGTTTTTTGTTTATTTTAACCTCACCTACTGGGCTGTGACATTGGGACTGAAAGACGTGCGTTTTTGCAATCTCTGCAATTTTATCACCGAGTTAGAAGAGATTCACTTACGGAAGACAGATGCAGTGGCGGATGAGGGGGTTTCACCGCGACAGCAGGTTCTGCCAAGCAGCACACTGATTTTCTTTTGAACTTAGAAAACTTCCTATATTAGGTTTCTCTTACCAGTGCTTACATATAATCTTCCTATTTAGCATGCCCACCAGAGGCAGGAGTCCCTAAATACCCAAAAAATGCTTATGTGCGAACTAAGTCGCTTCAGTCATATCCGACTCTTTGTGACCATGTGGACTTTAGCCCATCATGTTCCTCTGTCCATGGGATTCTCCAGGCAAGAATACTGGTGTGGGTTGCCATGCCCTTCTTCAGAGGATCTTCCCGACCCAGGGATTGAACCTGCATCTCTTATGTCTCCCGCATTAGCAAGGGCGTTCTTACCACTTAGTGCCAATACCTACATGCATTTGGCATTTCCATGTGCAGAGTCACCATGCCTCAGAGCAGAAGGGGAAGGGATTGACTGTGAGGTCCTCAATCCAATGATGCTTAAAGCACTGCCCTCGAACCACATCTGGTTC